ACTGGTAAAGCGGGCGGATCCTCGCACATGCGCGCCCAGCGAGTACTCACAAGCCGGCGATAGGCGGGCATGTCTCTACGTTCCAAGAGTCTGTCGGCGAACGTGTTCTCCAACATGCCCACCACTGTTGCGAGAACCTCCTTGTCACATTGTAGCTTCTCCCCATTATTGCCAATGTGCCTGCGCTTGCAACACGTGAATTCCCCCCGCAACACCGAAGAAGATGGATCCTTCCGTGGTCCTCCAAGCATCGTATGATCAGAGCGTGGTTTGCCTCCAATCTCATCAAGAATGTAGATGCGCGCGGCCGTCGTTGCACCGAAGTCCTTGATGGAGAAAGCAAGCTCCTCAAGACGACACCACCCACGTGAACGCCAACTCCTCATGTCGCAGCGCTCGCCTGTGTTGGCATGCGTGCAAGGTGGGGCGACCACCACCATGATGGCCGCAGAAGTTACGTAGGCTGCTAAGCTCTGGATTGCCAAGGACTGGTCTCGGGTGGAGGCCTGTGGTATACTCCAGACGTCGAGCCAACAACACACCTGATCTGGGCCATATTCACATACAGACTGTGACTCTGTACCCTGACGCTGGGGCGTGAGCACGGGCGTCAACGGCGTCGAACTGGTACTGTTGAACTTGCGTTCGAGTTCGCTGGTCCGGTTCTCCAAGCGCTTTACGGTGTCGAAGTCCATGACGAACTCCTTGATCATCTTGAAATGTATTCCGGTGGGGTCTGGCTCGCCGAAGGCGGTCCACTGGTGAGAAAAGAACAGGAGAGGACCATCGCCCAGGCGCCACTGGACCAGGGAGCCAGCGTCGAGGAGCTCCTCGTGAAGCCTCATGGAAGCATGAGTATTTTCGCGCAGACATGAGGCACGGACGGCGTAGCAGGGGAAGAAGCCTGGCATTCCAGACTGTGACATCCACCGAGGTCCCATGTCGACACATGCGAGCGGCACCTTCCTCTCTGCCGCGGCGCCCCCGCCACAGCACGCTAGGCTGCAGCCCATTGCTCCTTGTGTCGTGCTGCGGCTCGTTTTGCCGCTTCGGCCGAGCTGGCTTGTCCCAAAATGGCTACGGTGGGATGGCCCGAAGAGGTGAAATGTATTGACTATCCTTAGGTGTTTGAAGGATTTGGGCATTTGCCTTTTTTCGGCCTTCAGACCGCCGAAGAGTCCCCCAAGATCGCCCCAAGATAGCCCAAGAGGCCTCCAAGATGGCTCCATGACGGCCCAAGTCCCCCGAGACGGCCCAAAGAGGGCCCCAAGACGGCCCCAGAGGCCTCCAAGACGCCCAAGATGGCCTCCAAGACGGCCCTGAAGCGCCCCAAGACGGCCCTCAGTCGGTTCAAAGAGGCCCTCAAGACGGTTTCCGACGGCATCAGACGGGCCAGGAACGCCCTAAGACGGCCAGAGAGGCCTTCAAGAAGCCCCAAACGGGGCCCGAGAGGCCCAAGGAGGCCCCCAAGAGGCCTCCAAGAGGCCTCCCGGAAGCTCTCAGGAGGCCCCAACAGTGCCCCAAGAGGCTTCCAAGAGGCCTCCTCCTCCTATTCCTCCCTCTCCTCCACTTCCTCTTTCTCTCCTCACGTGTTCCCCGAAGGCTTTCCAAACCGACTCGGGCAACAAATGGTCCGATAGCTTGGCTAAGCTCTGGCCCAACTTTCGGCCACATAGGCGTTTCCAGAAAGGCAGGGGACGGCGGTGATTCGCCGTAGGCGTCTTCGATCCGCCGCCCCCTCTTGCCTACTGGAAGAGCTGTTAGCATGCCAAGTGTTTACAGTGTAGATCCTTCCACAAGGCCCCATTGTGGTATTGGCCGATCCAGCCAGCCACACAAGCAAATCATTATCCAGCCGGCTTTCGCATGGCCTCCAAGGCTGTCCAAGATGGCCTCCAAGTCAGCAGCCTGGGCGGGTCTACTGGGCTCAGCAAGATCCGCTAGAGGCAGGGTCTCATGCTCCCTTTGACTGGTAGTAGTACCACGGCCGACGTCACTGCTCATCATATTCTTCATATATGCGCAACAACTCTAGGTCGCTGGCACCATCTGCAAGACGCTGAAGTAGATGGGCCACCACTGTCGGGCGGATGGGGAGACAGTGGTGGAGGTCAGGGATTGCTTGGAGGCCGAGGCGGATCCTCAGAAGCGTTTCGATTGATATGGAAAGACGTGTAATGAGCCGGCGTTGCCGCTGAGGCTCACTACGCGTCCTGTCCGGGACCATTTTTCCAGCGCGGTGCCGGAGCGTGGGTCTTGAGCCAACGGTTGCGGGAGCCCTTGCTGACCCGCATCCTAAATTATGGGTGTATTGTTGATCGGCCTTCTCCCGTGCGTGCCCGCTGGAGGAAGCCGACCAAGTAATTTACCCGCCAACGATGTGCCACGACCTATCCCAGAATGAGCGCCGAAAGTCATCAGGGTGACTTACAGCACGTTCTGTAATAAATCGCTTCTGGAGACAAATTCGCAACCTGCACGGGTGGCTATTCGTGGCTGGTATGCTGCTGTATTGAACGGGGTCCACAAGTCAGTTTTTTTCGCGTGGCCCAAGCAGGGCGTACGGCCACGGGAAAAAAATGCGCGACTACTACGCCGAACTTGAACGGGGTCCATTGCAACCCATCCCTGGAGGCGGCGTTGCCGTTAAGCCTCCAGAGATCTTGAGACACATGGCGGTGCAAGCTATCGCGCCTGCCAAAGCCAAAGTCGGCCCACGGTCAACATGCGTTATCCCATGTTGTGGGATAAATGTCTTCCAACAGTCGAAACAAAGGAGGCACAAGCAAGAAAGATAGCTCGGAATCTCAGAGAACAAGCAGGTCCGGAGTGGCGGGTAGCCCAAAGCCGGGCCGCCGCCAAAAACAGAGGGAGACGAGGTAAGGAGGGGTAAGTTGGTGCGCAAGCGTCATATACGAGGTTTACCAGCGGCGGAATAGGGACATGCACCACCTATTTTGCACATCCAAGAAGGCCGAGATGGTTCCACGATGGCCCAAGACAGACCAAGATGCTCCAAGACGGTGAAATATGGCTGCAAGGCGGCCCAGCAGGCCCCCACGACGCACCAAGAGGGCTCCAAGAGGCTCTTGAAGAGAGCACGAAGAGGCCAAATCCCACAGGCCCTTACGGGCGTCAGTAGTCCGACGGGTTCCCTCTTCCAACACCTTTTTCCCCTTCGGGGAAGGTTTGGGGCCCATTTGGGCCTCCTGGGGGGGGGACTCTAATCTACTACCCTCCCTCCTTTGATCGATCTCCTCCAACATGGCCCCACGATGGCCCCCGAGGCTTCCGAGAGTTCCCCAGGAGCGCCCGGAGAGCCGCCTGGGAGGCCCCACGAGGTCCCCAAGATGCCCCCAAGAGGCTTCCAAGAGACCCCAGAAGGCCCCAGGATGCCCGCCCGAGGCACCCCAAGACGCTTCAAGAGGCCCCCTGGGCCCCAAGACGCCCCAACAGACCTACAAAAAACTAAAAAACTCGCGAGAGGCATCCGAAGAGACTCCGAGAAGCATCCAAGAGGCCTCTGGCCTCCATGCTTGCATCCGCGTAACCCTCCTCCTCCCTCCTCCCTTCTCCCTCTTCCCCCCCCCCCCTCCTCCTCATCCTCCTCCTCCTCCTCCTCCACCTCTGGTTCCTCCTCTATGCTTCCCCTCCTGGGGTATGACGGCTTCCCAGTCTTTCTTCCACTGCGCGCTCCCCCACATGCCTGATCAGGGCAATTCGC